ACGATTTTCCTGCTTTTCCATTTTTACGAAAACCACAGAGGCGTCTTGTTCAGCGTGCTGTCAAACCTACACTAGCAAGGAGATCGGGCTGAAACTATAGCTACAAGCTATCCAAGGATGGTACTATAGAATGTCACCTCAAGGTAGGCCTAGTGGCGTCATCTCTTGGTTAGGCCGGAAACTTATCAATCCACCCTCGTATCAATTGTGTGCCTAACTTGGTCCAGCCAAAGTTGGGCAACCCATTGTTGGACTAAAATTCACCCGATCATCAATTTCAACAGTTCCTACATGTGAATTACCTACCAGATGATGGCTTTACAACATACACAACAGGATTCTGTGGAAAACCTAGGTAAAAGAAGGAAGAGAGATTAGATAACGAATGGACCGCTTAACGGTTCTACAGTTTAACTGTAGGGTTTGTAGCAAGTTGACTTAATTATTTACCCTGCTTTTCGATCTTCGATTGACCCTTGTTCCCGACACCACTGTCGAAATAATTCTTCCATGTTTATAAACTTATTCATGGTCGGGCCCGGTTCAAAAAATTGTTAAATTGGTAAATCTAATAATGATGACTCGCGAAATATTGGGCTCGACAAATGAAAAAATAATAGAGCTTTGAAAAAATGATGAGCTTATCTTAATTAAAGTAGACCGTCTGGGCACCAGAGCGCGTGAAAAATGAATAAATTAATGTTGTTAATGTTGGTAGCTATAGTGTATACGTAATAAACTGAATTAAATTCATAACACCGTGCTGAAAAGGCGCTGGTGTTTGAAAGTAATTTTGATTTGATTGATGGCTAATCTTCGCGTCTCTTAGATGAAAATCTGTATGAACTTGTTGTTCAGTTTGTCGACATATCGAATGAATCAGATTCAGTTGTTCGTTTTTTTTTTATCGTACAGATGCAGTACTCAGATAATGTCTTTCTTCACGACAAGATGATGATTATGGTTCTATTTTTGTTAAGTTACCTGTGTCAATATTTGTAAAAACTGTACCATCATGGGGGTTATAAATTGTAAATTATTACGTTATTATTGTGGCATAAAAACAGTGACATGTTATTGGTATATTCACTTGTTTGCTTCTTCTATTTATTTCTTTCCTTAATATGTCGGTATAAAAAAGTTCTTTGTTGCAAAAAACCTGGAGGAGTCATTGGTCATTTGGACCAGTTATGCAAATTGTCAAATGACGTGATAAATGTAAATGAAAAGCCAAAATGGTCATCTGGTGGAAAACGGAATCGCTATTCTATTACCTCATTAAATAACTTGCAAGAACATTAATGCAAGGATTTGTTGGATCCACGTATACTACGTGTTATGAGTCATTTAAATCTGTTTTTAACAATAATTATGACGTTGAAAATAAAAACTGACATTTACTACAAATGCAGGCGTAGAACAACAGTATCAAAAGTATCTTCTTCCAAAAACAGACAATAGTTTCATCAAGTTGGTGTTATAATATTATTAGACTTAGAAGTAACAACCATACACAGATGAAAGCTTAAAGTAAAATGAAGTGTTTACGACAAACAAACAGCAGCTCATTTGTTACCTTTTATTTGTCATAAAAAAAATCGAAGCTATTAATTCTAAACCACAACATTGTCAGAATAATTCAGTTGCTTCATAAATCAGATTCGCCGAGAAACATTATAATACTGCACTGGAGTGAGATGTCATTATGTCCCATTGTTCGTTTTTGTCATCAGAATCCAAACAACTTCTCTTAGAATACGAAGTGGGTGCTTCAGTAGGCTTCAAAAAAAGGATAATTTGTGATTTATTGAAAAGAAGCAAAATTAATGTCTTCAAAACAAATTGGTTAAAATAAGAAAATAAAACCAACATCCCTTAGGAAAGCTTTTTATAATTTTTAATTTTGGGTACAGATAATACCTGTTGAAGCTCGTATTCCTGGAGATCTCTATGGATATATTCGATACCAAAACAAAAATTGAGACCATAATCTGAATCACCCAAAGGAGACGATTTCTCTTCCTTTTAATTGCAGACTCCAGAACTTTAAGATAAATATAAATGGAGAACATCTTTGAGATATTCCAAAAATTAATAAAAATGTTTTGGTTATGTACATTCCGATACCTAAATCAACGGGGATCAAAAATGGTAACAGAAAACTCCATAAAACTCCTTATGCTCTGCTTCCCAAAACGAGGGTAATGTCTTCTTAGCAAAAGCAATAAAAATTTGATGAAATTTAAATATGCCCTCATTGGGGAAAGTCCCACGCGAGTCAGGTGCGTCGAGTGAAGAATTATTGTAGTAATGCATTTGAAAACCTACTGACCGCGGTAGGTGTAGGAATACACTTAGCAATTTAACATTTTATCCGCTTTATTTGCAAAGGCACGCGTCTGAAATTTTAATCAGAGACAATACATGGGATTTTCTTGTAAACACGTCTACGTACAGAATACAAAAGTGTTCCCTGACACGATTCATTTCACGACGGACGTCAGAAAAGAAGATTTAGGTCGCGAAAAAAGTAAGAAACACGTGCACTTGACCCACCGTAAAACATTCAATGGCGAAATTGTGTAATTTGTGACTCTGACCCTAGATATGCTCAGCACAAGGAGGTTCCAATTTTACTCCTGTATATAAGAAAGGAAAAATAAGGAAACTAATCTGTTAAAATTAATAATTAACGTCAAAAACGTTCAAGCATACGTAATCCTAAAATGTAGCACTGTACTACAGATGGCGTTTACAGCGCCATTTGTCGTATTTTCTAAAACGCGCTGTTAAGGCAGCAGGTAAAGGTTGGTCTGTGTTCTGTCATTAAAATAAGCAGAATTTCAATATGCATGTTCTTTAACGTTGGTAAGGTGTTTGTTGTCTTCTTGCTTTTGGTGGTTTAATTTTAATTTGGAATTCCGGATCGATTACACGGAATTCCAACCAATATTTCTATTTTGATATTCTTAGCTTTTATTTAGGGTCCAATTGGTATTGATGATCCAATTTCGATATAGAATTCCGGCTATTTAGAATTCCAATTGATACAACAAAATAGATACAATTAATTACTCTTTAGGCACAGTTAGTATAGAATGTATTGCTGTTCCTATTTAATAAACTAATAGTAAAGAATTCCGGATATCAAATAAATAATTTCCATTCATAGAATGAAATATGAAATTAATAGTTATAGGCAACTATATCTATTATACTAATGTCAAGAATACTTTAAGATTTTAATGAAATTTCAATAAACAATTTCATTCTGATGTAAGAGAAGTGGAATTCTCACTGTTAATTACAAATGCAGTTGTTAAATCCTTACACCTGGACTAAATGTAAATGATATGACAGAATGTTCGGTGAGATTTCTTGAAGTCATAACTAAAAAGAAATTAGGTTACCTTGCCAATAGTTTTTAACATTGATATTGATTTTTTTCAGTAAAAGGTTTGCACTATCTATCTAGAATTCCGGGCATGGATTTTAATTCTAACATATTTCCACAAATCATTAATTTGTACTTTATTATTAGTTCACAATGTCTATAAAACAGATCTTTTATTAGTCCCCTAGATGTATTTTATGAGTAAATAAGTTATTAAAGGAATTATTGTCATATAAATGCAATTAAATGTAGTCTGAGTATACTATCTGTGTTATTTCTAAGTTTACTTACAAGTAAATAATTGGATGTAAAAAGATAAAAGACTAATAGATACTATGAACACAAAGATCATAAAAATGTTCTAAATCAAAACCGAAAGTGAATATCTTGGCATCGATCGTTGTTTAATTACTTTCGAATAACTAATCAACTATTCATCGTCCGTAAGTGTAATTACCGTAATGAATTAATTGAGGCGCTGTTCAAGTAAATAAATTTCGTCGAATGAGTACGTGCGAGGAATTTTTAGAAAGAAAGATGGATAGAAATAAAGTTGGTTAAATTCCACTTTTTATTTCAAATAAATAGGCAGTATCTTAGTATCTTCCTAAATTTTCTTAAGAAAAATGTAGTTTGAAAGCTAATATACGGCTATAAGAGAATATTGTACATAGGACAAACAAATATACCACTCATAAGTGGAATTAAATAACATTATGTGTATTAAAATGAAAATATAACAATAACCTGTATTGCACTAAAGGAAAACTTAGAAGAAAATAAGTCGTAGTAGATATAGTTTATGAAGAAATCTACGAATTTTTTAATTTTCAATTCATTTCACTATCAAAGTCTATTATTGTAAAGATGAAAACTGATTGAGATGATATCTAATCAGTGCAAATTTCGCTGTTTTTCTTTTTTGTTTTAAAATTATTAGGTAATACTTTTCTGATAAAAAAGAGAAACCTTTGAATTGTCTACTGGTTTTAAGAAGCAGGCACGAGTAAGTATTTCATATATCTATGCAGGTATTCTTTTTAATTAAACATCAAATAGTATTTTTTGTTTAATTTTTTTTGCTTTTTAAGAAATGTCTTTGTTAAATACAGATTATGTATGGTATGATTTAATTAATTAATTGTATTTATTATCTGTAGGTACCTATATCATGTATACGGCTATAAGAGAATATTGTACATAGGACAAACAAATATACCACCCATAAATGGAATTAAATAACATTATGTGTATTAAAATGAAAATATAACAATAAGCTGTATTGCACTAAAGGAAAACTAAGAAGAAAATAAGTCGTAGATATAGTTAATGAATGAATCTACGAATTTATTAATTTTCAAATCATTTCACTATCAAAGTCTATTATTATAAAGATGAAAATAGATTGAGATGGCATGTTCCAACAGTAATCAGTATAAATTTCGCTGTTTTTCTTTTTTGTTTTAAAATTATTAATTATTTCATATACCTATGTGGGTATTCTTTTTAACTAAACGCCAAATACTATTTTTTGTTTAATTTTTTCTTTTGCTTTTTAAGGAGCGACTTTGTTAAATACCGGTTATGTCAATATATTAAATGAACTAGTACGATTTAATTAATTGTATTTATTACCTATAGGCACTTATACCATGTAGACAACGAACTTAAATTTTCCTTTTATTAATTGTTCGTAGACCACTTACTGTAATCGATCCTTTGTTTCAATAATGACGAAGAATGATGCGGCCAATCTACTAAAATCACGAACTTTTCACGCCTAAATGCAACATGAAAAGAACACAAAACATTTCTTTCGTTAATGCTCGAAACAGTGCGGCACGTTGAAGAATGCAGTTTTAGTTTTTCCAATAACGTGTCGTAGGCGTAGATCAGGTCGCATCTAGGACGACAAAGAATTTTCCGACCTTTGCAATAAACTGTAACGACAATGACTTGGACGAAAGCGTCTGTGCGCTTCTGCCGCCGACGTCCGCGGCGACTTTTAGGACCCATCCTTCAATCTTCAGCGGAAGAGTACGTAAGTAGTAGAAGTAGAAGAAGAAGAAGAATAAGAAGAACAAGAACAAGACGAAGTTGCGAATACCGGGTCTTCTCGAGCTTGAGGATGAGGTGTGCGAAGAGGGGGCTTTACAAGTATTAAAAGCACCTGAGGCCTGGTCCCAGCCACAAAACCCGATGTGACATCTCAAATGTTGTGACATCTGGATCACCAATAGTGAAGTTTTTACTATACTCAATTTAATTTATTTTAGTCAATTTATTTAAGTAATTGTTCAAATAGTGTGAGTCCAGACGGTTGTTCCAGGAGATCTGCAGGATTCAACAAGGATTTCGACTGTTTCTTCGATATTTTTTTGAGGTAATTNATCACCAATAGTGAAGTTTTTACTATACTCAATTTAATTTATTTTAGTCAATTTATTTAAGTAATTGTTCAAATAGTGTGAGTCCAGACGGTTGTTCCAGGAGATCTGCAGGATTCAACAAGGATTTCGACTGTTTCTTCGATATTTTTTTGAGGTAATTTATAACACTTTTTATTATTGGTTTTGTTTAATTTAACGAATTCAAGACGTCTTGTAAATATTTACTTAGTTTTGAACATTTTTTGTAATTTTTAATTTTCTTTTAATGTGAGATCAATTTGTAATGCTTTATTTGATGTTTACGATTACAGTCTGAAATTAAATTATTTAAGTAGTAAAATTTTATGTTATTATGGTAAATTAGATAATGGCAGTGTTTATGTTTCCACATGCAGGATAAGCATATCCTTTTATGTTCAATCGTGTAAAATAAGAACTACATCATAAATTTAACGCGAGTCGTTTATGCAAGCTGCTTCTAAGGATTCTATGATTAAATCTTTAAATATAATTTTTGTAGTCAATTTTAGTTTTATTGCAAAGTATTTATTTTGTAGCTACTAAAATTTCGGGGCATCAAATACTTTAAAAACCGTAATTTGTTATTAGTAGATTCGCAAGGATTTTAACAACTAATTTTTTTTTGAACAAAATATTCATATTATTATTTTTATACCGTTACTAAAAGTAGATAATTTAATTTAAATCACAACTGGTTTACTGTAGTTTTAGCCTATCCTTAAATTGGAATTTGAGCGAAGATTCTTATCATTAATTATTTGCTCAAATCTCCTAAAAAATATTTAAATATCCTTATCGTTGTTAGGTTTAAAACCTAAAACATGCAATAGTTTTATTTTGGAACTTTCTGAGTCGCTGAATTATCCCAAAAAGTTGATTTTTTGATAATGTTTTTTAGTTTACAATCATCTCACATTTGTTTTGGATTATTACAAAGAGACGAACTGCAATTTCTAGTCCAAAATACCTTTCAATCGCTGTAATTAATCATATCATACATCGAAAAAAAAATGAAACTGTTAAGTCGGTCTTAGAGCCTCATGGTACCGCGTCTGGACTTAGATTAAAAAAAGATTAAAAATATCAATAAACACGATCTTATGTTTTGTAAATTTCGTTTTCGTGGGCTACCTGAACCTGTTCATTATTACAATCGAACGGTTCTTCTTCAACTTCTTCACCTCGGGGCAAACGGAGACGGACTATTAATATCTGCTATTAAATCAATCGGCATAAGGTCCATTTTTTGCACGCGCTATTCATGCTAATGGGTTTAAAGGATAAATTAATGATAAAGCATCAGCAAGTCCTCGAAACGTATTCGGCTAGTAATAATAAAGGACTTAATGGAACCGATAGTGTGAATTTCGAACGGACCGATCTAAAGATTTATTGCCAGTGGTCTTCACTTAATAAATTGCTGCTAGAAGAATAAAAGAATGCAATTACATCTTATGTGTACATGCGTCTGTATACAATTTCGATCATTTAGCCGCGGGTTGCACACAAGAGTTAAATGAACTTAATTACGGAATTGCTTTTTTAACCCCTCGTAAGTAATTATTGATAAAAAATAACCTGTTAGGTCTATTGTACTTTAAATTATTCCCATACTGTAATAAATGAATAAAAAGTTTTCGAATTAACTTTGGCAGTTACTTCTTCTTAGGTACTATTTGGGTTGGGTTGGGGACGGTAAGATAAAACAAAATTAACTTGGGTGGTCAGTTTTCCGGCTTTTAAAACCTCGTAAAGGTTTGCAAAATGTTAATATTTCGTCGTCAGATTAGTATCTGGGGTTTTCCTGACAAAAATATTCAGCTAGAGGCAGTTTAGAATGACATGAACCTCCACACACGCCAGAGGCTTTCGCATTGTTATTGTACATTACGAGAACATTGACTCGGTTGTTAATTGTATATGTGCTTATTATAGTCAGGAGAATGAAACTCCAGATAATTTGTAAACGACCGATATGACATTTTTAATTATTAATAGTGGTTAATATGAAATATTAGTGTGAAAATTCATTTTCAATTTTCTCTCATTAACCTGAGGTAGTTTGTAGTGTACGGAAAATTGAAAATCAATTTTCACATTAATATAGTAACAATCGATGTTTTTAAGATGTATTAAAAATGTAGAAATCAGTAAAGGGGCGGAGTTTTATCGCTGGACAACGCAAGGTCAAGGCTTATGCTGTTCTAAATTACCTCTACCACTACAATAAATTGTGGCATCAAGGGGCTGCGCTTGAAGAAAGTAAGCTTAGATTTGGTGAGGTAAAAAACGTTACTGTTATCCCATAAAAAGATAATGATTTATGTATTTACGTGAAGTAAAATCAAAAAAGGATTTTTTATTCAAATTTTAGCGAAACTATAACCACAACTAATTTTGCAAAACGAAAAGCGGATCTTTTTTTAATGCTATTCAAAATTAGGCTTTTATTTGATTCTTAAGTTGTAGCAAATTTTCTTAAGTAAGTAATTAAAAGGGGGAATTAAGGGGTTGCTTTAAATAAGTGAATTAAATTATTTTTATGGTCAGGAATTTGGGAAATAAATTGACTATGCATAAAAGTTTATAAATGTTATAAAAATGTAGTCCATGTTAGGAGATTATCAGGTCAATACAATTCAAGCGGAAGTTTCATTACTAATGTACAAATCTAAAATAATTTATTGAAGATTAATCATATTACGAAACAGTAGGTAACTAATTCAATTTCCTAAGAAAGAAACTACAATTGATTTAATTCATTCTTCAAAAAGGTAACGGAATTTGATAAAGCTGCTGATCTCCTTTTATACCTACAGGACATGATATATGGATTTTTAAGAAATTCATTTTTCCTTTTTCTTGTGCTTTAAGGAGACACACATTTTACAGGAACTTCTATTGCTACATTCTTTTGTATTTATGGAGTATAACAATGGAAGACGCGATGATTGATTATCTATTACTTTTTATTTTACATTAATAAAACAAAAACGGTATTTAGTGTATTGGTATACTGTTTTGTGATTCTAGAGAGAAAAAAAAAGTAAAAATGAAAAAGAGTATGTAACAAAAAAAAGCAATTCCAATTTACCTACTTTCCTTGGAAAAAACAGTAAGTTGTAAATGACTTTTTTTTTCGGTAGAAGAATCTTCTTGCGTTGTAATGAAAATTTTAAGATAACGTTGACGTTGATGGCTAATTGTTTTTTATAGGTATAATGTCGCTTTTAATAGCTATTCAAAATGCTAATTTCTATAGACCGCCTACGAATAGACATCAATTAAAGTGGCTAATTAAATAAAGTATTTCTGTTTGAAGCTACTTAAATTATAAAACTCAACGTGGTCATAAAAAGGTGAGATTCCATTACAAACTTTTTGTTTGCATTTGCACCTGACAATCTTTACGGTTAATTTAGCTAATAACAGGTCATTTAACTCTAGGCGAATCTTAACTCCTACGATGGTCAAGCGTAGCAAAATTCAATAAACTTTTTCAAATAACAAAACAGTTAAAACATTATCTTTTTTGACAGTAAACATTATATATTTTTTTTGTGAAAGAATAAAGAATAAATTCTCAATTTTTCTTCTTAGTTTGGATATGACTAAGCAAATAATGTAGGTCCTTAAGGGTTGGAAGGTTTAAATTTGTGTGAAGAATCAGCACACACAATAAATAATAAAAACGCCAGGAATAGTTTTTTTAATCAGATAATTAAGATTAAACCCGCATATTTTTTTCTGCTTAAATGTTTCATAATAATAGGTAAACAATCCTTAACTTAAACAGAAATCAACAACCTCTCCGTATGTTCATAGAATATTGTTTACAATAAATAGGAGTCTGTTAATCCTCAGGGACATCTCAAATTTTTGGCAATATCTATATAGGTCATAAACTCAAATAAACCACAATACCCATGTGACAACAAATTAATCGATTTATATATTATTCGTAACTACAGACCGATTTGTTTTAGAGTTTTTTCCACACATGATATTTCTTTAATGAAAATCTTAACTGAAATAGATATTTTGATCTTTTTAGTCAAATATTAATTATTAAAGAAGGACGAAATTCCTGAGTGAATGTATTTCGATGGGATTTAGGGTCAAATTGGTAATTTATAAAAACAAACCTTTCCAAATTTTTGTCAACTTCAAATGATAACAGGGAAGTAAGGGCATCAGGGCCGGACTGGCCCGGGTGCAGGGGTGCAAATGCACGCTGGACCAAACTGGGCCAAATGACTCAAAAAATGTGAAAAAAAATTATTAAAACAAGAGCAAAGACCGAGACAAAGACAAACGCAAATTTCCTTCTAACTTCTTAAATTTTTTTAAAAATGAGTGTTGTTAAAATTTGTGCACTTTTCCTTGTAAACCAGGTCATTTGGTTACGTGGCACCCCGGGCCAAAATCTTCAGTCCGACTCTGAAGGCCATTGCCAAAATTACTCAAGTCAGTGCTGGCCCTACAGGATTGGGTATGAACTCATCTCGAAAAGAGAGTATATTTAAAAACTCGTTTGTCCGGGAAAATTTTTCATATATTTCGAGGTATATTCATAAACAAATTTCAGGGAAGATCTTACTTTATTGTTGTTTATATTGTCAGTACTTCTGATTATTTAGGCATTGAATTGAGTAAGAGTGAAACTGCTGGAAGCAACTCTTTAATTCTTCAAATTGAAATTAGCCAATGATTATATGATTTCAGAAATCTAAATATTTCAAAAGGAACTCTTCTAATAGGTACATTACAGGAGAAAAATAATATAAAAAAAATCTTTGTTGTAGATTCAATTGTTAATGCTTAATTAATTAATAATTTATTAAGATGAATAACTGCTACGTTAGGAGGTTCAAAAATTTAACAATGTGTAGTCAAATTAATCTTTGGTCATTAATTGAGATGCTCCACGGGGGTTTGAAAGGTTCAGCTCTGGAAAATATGACATCAAATGGTGACATATGTTAATTGATCGTTTCGTTTTGGATTAGTAGCGAAGGCTACTACGTTCGTTGCCCTTATTCTTATTTTGTTTTATTTTCATGTTACTCTTTTGCTTTGGTCGTTATCTCAAATATCATTTGTTAAGTCCAAAACACGCCAAGGTAACACTGA